ACTGTCTTCCAGTTCTTAATAGAATTACCATACTCAATACTTAATTTAAAAGACAGAATCTAGAAAGTGTCCACTTATTTATCTTAGACAAATCCTTAAAATTCCTTAAACATCTAAACATCTCCTTCTAACAACACCAGTTTAGAGATCGGTCTCACAAAAGTTGACGAATTGGTACGCACAGAAGCGCTTCTTACCAAGCCATCTCTGCCGATCTTAACAGATTCAACAATCGCCAAAGGCCACAGTCCTCTGGGCATAGATGCATCTACAATAAGTACGAGATCACCAACTTTTAAATTCCCTTTGCATACTGCCATTTAGAACGGGATTGCAACAACGGCAGGTACTCATTTGTCCATCTTTTCCAAAACTGAGAAACTATGTATTGCGCATGTCTCCGTAATTTCCTGTACGTGTCAGCAGTATGAAAATCACCCCAGGGAAGAGAATGGATGCCACGGATAGCCAATAAGTGATTTGGAGTCAGTGCATTTAAATCAAATTATTTCACTGTTATTTCATTGTGGAACTGCATTTTTATTGTTGGTACCTAGCCAATCATTATCTCCCCCTTCAATAATTTTGACCCCCCACCCCAAGCTGGAATTTTTTCCGTAGACGCCCATGGCTGTGATATATGAAAGGCGTGCAGTGTTTACCTGCTGAGAAATCGTGGAAGTGTTAACCTGTTGAGGCCTAGCTGAGAAATTCTGAGATATTCTAAATCACTACCCTCTACAAGGATCGAAGATGAATAACGTGCACTTTTCTCTAACAGTGCAGAATTTTGCCATAGTCATATCTGTGGTTATCTAGTTTAAATATCAATTTGTGGCCCAGGTAAAGTCAGTATTAATCAGCCACAAAGCTATTAAATCTGTAAGAAGGAACAGTGTACAGTGCAGATAAGTAGCTTTCTAAACGTTAAATCATAGAGTATATTTTAGATACATTTATTTGGAGGTTTCCACACGTTTTATCACCCCATAACATATCAACTAGTCAATGACATCACTGCATTTTTCCTATTTTTGGGGTTAAAATTATCGGAATTTTTGAGAATTTCTAAAACTTCCACCATCTTATTTGCCTAGATGTAATTTATTCTGATTCCCTGATTTTCATTTCTTAATATCGGAACTTGTGTTATTTTCGATAGCTGGTTTTCATCTGCATTGAATATTTATATCTTTCTATTGAAGCAAAAGTTTTTTTTTCTTTTTTTCCTTTTCTTTTTGCTATATAGATGTAAAGCTGATTGTGTACCTTTTAAGAGTGCAGCGTTGTCTCTCTTTTTTCTTTTTAGATTGAGGTTTAATGTACGGACATTCAAACGCGTCACGCTATTTAAAATTGAAGAGACTTTATTGTGTAAATGGCTGTGAGCGCAGTATGCCGAGTACGTCTACCGAATGGAAGACTTTGACATTTCCAGTTTAGGCAAGCTTTTTATTTTTCCCTACATCTAAAAAATGGAGATAACTCTTAGAATGCAGACGTCCGCCAAGGCAAAACCAGTATGTATATGTTGTTACTTGTATTTACTTATATCTCTCAGGAAATATTTGTCAACGAACTTACTAATGCCGATAAAACGTGATGACCTCCGTGGGCATGCAGAGCTGACAATGGTGGCATAAGTGTATAGTTACAGCTGTGATATATGGTAGGTGTGCACACACACAGAAATGTGTAATAATAGCTGATAGGAATTCAAAAAGAAATTGTGAAGTGTTAAACAGTTAAAGCTAAGCAGACATATTCTGAGGTATTCTATACCCCTACACTCATTCAAGGCCGCAGATGAATAATAGTCAACAGTGGAGAAATTTGCCATGAATCAGCCATAGTGGATATCTAGTTTAAAAAATCAATTTGTGCCCCAGGTACAGGGTACTAATTAACCGTCAAGCCATTTAATCTGTAAGAAGGAACAGTGTACAGTGCGGATAAGTAGCTTTCTCATTTTTTCTCATTTTTTATCATCCCCTAAATTATCAACAAAACGATGTTATAACCGCAAATTCCCTGTTTTTTGTGGTTAAAATTGGTGACATCTTTTAGAATTTTTAAAACTTACACCTTCTTTTTTTCCTACATATGATTTATTCTGTTTCACTTGTTATTTCATTTCTAAACAGAATCCTAATTGGGACATGTGGTAATCGCAATCAAAACACATAACACAGTGAATGACAAGTGAGTCTTGAATTTGACTGGTCGATTTTCAATCCCCCACCACATTACAAATTAATAGTATCGACTCTGAAGAAACTTGAGATTGTGACCGGATGTGATTGTGATATGTCATAAACACAGGGCGCCGCCATGATGGAAGTCTTGCGTCAGTGTCAAAATGGTTGCATTGCATGCGTACGAATAGGTCTGGAAAATATTGGATTTTTTTTAATAAGCAGAGAATTGTTTGTCCAAACAAATAACCGTGCACGCACGGCGATTTGAAACTTGCGTATACCATCTGACATGGCAATTTATGTAATTGACAGGTCACAAGATATTACAATCACTTTATGTACACTTAAATTGCATACACCTGGCAAACTGAAGTAAATGTTGGCACAAGTATTCAATTAACGCTATACATTTAAAGAAAAAAAAATTACCTGGACCTTAACGGTGTTTTTCTGTCAAAAATTCATGAAATTCACAAATTGCGAGCCGAACTGCGTGATAGACATATTACATGTAGTTTCGCAAGAATAAAGATAACTGCGTTTAGAATTAAAAACCTAAATGAGGTGGACTTAACATGCAATTAATTGGAAAATCAACACTACTTTGATGGAGTATAACCATAAACATTATATAAATATGTAAAAAAAAACAAACAAAAAAAAAAAAAAAAAAACTTTCAATCTCTGAAATAATTCCCCACGAAATTAAACAATAAGTGCACACAGAAGCAATGGGAAACTATGTGTGAGATCACCTAAAGCAATCACAAATAATACTATGATGGCCTGTCTGCTTTGCTTGTCGTAACAGCTGCCCTGAATCTGATTTTCAGCGAAATTAACCCAAATACATTCTAACTTCCAACACATGCATGTTTCTCCAGACAAGAGCCTTTCCATCGGACAGAAAACTTGAAAAAAGCAACACTTCTGCAACAAAAGTGACACTTGTCGGGCGATTGGGCGGGCAGCCATTTACTACACTGGAATTTATAATCATTGTATTGAACAAAGACCACTGAGCAAATTTTGATTGTGTTGTTTCACAAGAAGTCTCAAGGGTTTTGTTTTTCCTGTCTTTACAAAAGGTTCCTTGAGCAAATCATGCTTGCCTTGCTGCATAGGTATCTCATCTCCTTGAACTGGACGACGATAATTACGGGCAGAATATACTTATGGTTCGCCTTAACTATGGCTAAGGCTGAACTGCAATGGTATATTACTGCAATTCTAGGTAATTTTCATATTTTGTCTGCTCCCTAGTTGATGTCGAGAGGTACGGTTACACAATCATTAAAACCTACATCAAAAACTGCCGGAAACTGTTTAATTTTAATTTTTATTCTTAATTATATATTCAAAATAATATCTGTCACAATTTATGCATCTCAAATTTCTCCGTGTCTTTTTGCTGTTAGGGTCACTTCGAACCCTTTCTTTATTTGTTTATGATTTTATTTTACTGATTTTAAGCATTATTTTTTTTTGCATCTCTAATACTCTTTTGATCTTATACTGTTCTCCATCCCAAATATATCTATATAACAAAGCAATTTGGAGGGTAATGATTACTGTCAATTTCCTTTACCTACGATATCATTTCTCCTTGATTCACACCATATGTAATAAAACCTCAAATTTTCTTTTGTCATAGACTTACATATCTCGTATCATTACCAAGCTGAAAAAAAAATTGATAACAACTAAAATTACATGTAATGATATTAATGACAAAAGGTTACAATTAAGCTACGTGCAGATAATTATCTGAATCTGGTGCTACATGTGTGTAAAATGGTGGACAGCGTTTTATCGGCTAAAGCGTATGTATGGTGAATAAAAGCAAGCGTTTTTAGAGTAAAAGGCACATGGCTTTGTGGAGGCGTACCTTTAAAAAATAATAATATTAATAGCAGGAACGGGAAATATTGGCAATTACGTGTGGGACAAGAGTTTCATTTGAATAAGAAGACTGCTGATAAAATACGCGTGATTACCCTCTACTTACTGCCAGGGAAATATTGAGAATTTTGTGTGCCCAAGGAGGATTCTTTTACATGAGAGATGTGGTGAGAAAAGCGTTTAAACCCCTCTCTACTTACTGCCAATCAAAATTCTTTCTTCTTCTTATTAACAACGTTATAATTAGACAAGATAATTTTCTTCCATCATCAGCTAATATTGATAGCTTATATTACCTCCACGTCAGTGCCATCTACCGGGTATAAAAGAATATTCCAATAAGACATGCTTTCAGACATCCCCGGCTTGTGGACGACTTTGAAGTGCTTTTCTTTGCACTGTAATTTTATTTAAGTTTTAAGTTTTGACAGTCATGAATGCGACTGAGATGTCGGTCAACGAGAGCTTCTCATTTTCTGAGAAAGACGAAAAGGAGGAGGATATTCCTGACTTGGCTTTCATGAATCTGTTTTATTTCGCTTTTGATGGCATTGGGATTTCTGTCGTTTGTGTAGTTGGCCTTATTCTCAATTTCCTTTCAGTGGCTGTATTTTTACGTTTTGAGAAACGGAGCCCGACTGTTTTCCTGTTGATATGCCTGGCAGTGGCCGATAACATCCATCTTTTAACAGCTTTTTTTAACTTCAGCGTGCCGGCCATGTACCCTTATACTGGGTGGTTCAAAAATCTCTTCTTTTTTCGGATGAAACACTTCCGGCTTCTGTATGGGTTGAAAATTTCCCTCTTCTTGATCCCACCCTGGTTAGTAGTGCTCGTAACGTTCGACCGTTATTTGCACCTTTGCTCCGAGAACACTCTTCGAAGTGGTGCAACGGCAAGTGTCTTGTTTCCGGAAAACAAGAAGATAACCCTCTCTTTGTTTTTTTGATACAGCTATCTTTATTTCCAACAAAGGAATGTGGTAAAAAACTGAAATAAAATAAAGAAAACCTTTGTCAAAATACTGTTGATGATATTTCTATTTCTTATTGTGGCACTTACAGGCCACCGTACCTTACAAAACTAGCGTGAAACGTGCAGCATCCTTGCAATGACAAGTTTTAATGTGAATACATAATAAAGGCAGTTTACAGATACTAAAAATGTTCTTTACACAACCACAATTATCAAAACTATATAAAATGTGGAAAAACTCACGGTGTGTGTGGCCTATCTTTAGAAAAAACTCTGTACAGTTCACGAGCGGCTGATGATGAGCGAGCATGGAGCCTCGACATGAAAAACTAGGTCAAATACGAAGGCCTGTAACAACACACTCCTCGCCTGATATCTGATTGATATCACTATTTAACTACTACAATAAAAGTCAACTATAAAATAGAATGCACAACATATACCAAGTTTAGAACTTAACTGAGCCACTAAATTTGTAGTGTTTTGCTATTAAATCCCTCCTACATGTTCGCAACTTTACCAACTGTCAATCAAAAGAATAAGTTCACATATTGGACTGACATATTTCACAGATTTTCCATCTTTCACTGTTCTGACCTCCACAGTTCTGACTTTACTGTCACATCCACTGGGAAAAACATCTTCTACTACTCCCATTGGCCAACTGCCTCGATGTAACTCACAGTCTCTGAGCAGCACAATGTCACCGATTTTCAAGTCTTTCTGCAAAGCTGTCCATTTCCCTCGCTTTTGTAATGACTGGAGATAACCATCTCTCCATCGCTTCCAGAATGTATTAGAAAGGATCTGCACATACTTCCATTGTGACTGGTATATTTCTCTCATATCTGTTGATGTGGTTGGGGTAGGTAATGGCTCCTTCTTCTGTGTAAGCAACATTGCTGGCGTGATGATTTCTGGGTCCTCTGGATCATAGGAAATGGGAGCCACAGGTCGAGAATTAATGACAGCACTAACTTCACACATAAAGGTAACTAGAACTTCATGAGTAAGCTTTTGGGTATGGCTGGTTAAAAACATAGCATCGAGTATTCTTCTGGCGAGACCAATAAGACGTTCCCAGGCTCCACCCATGTGTGATGCATGCGGGGGATTGAACTTCCACACAATTCCCATGTCATGAAGGCTTTCTTGCACTGGACCATTTTCAACAAAGATACCTGTGGCTTTAATCTGATCCAGAGCACCTATGAAATTTGTGCCACGATCCGATCTGATCATTTTCACTGGTCCACGGATGGCTACGAAACGTCTAAGTGCATTGATGAAGGACGAAGAACTCATTTCTTCTATAACTTCTATGTGCACTGCCCTGGTAACTAAACAACCAAAAATCAGGGCCCACCTTTTACTTTCAGCCTGACCACCTCTTGTTCTGCGTGTGACCACAGGCCATGGACCGAAAACATCAATTCCAACTGCTGTGAAAGGAGGCCCTGGGGTAACTCTATCCTCAGGTAAATCAGCCATGCGTTGGTTCAAGAACTTGCCTCGCAATTTACGACATATAACGCACTTGTACAAGATTGAAGAAATTAGTCTTTTTGCTCCAATTATCCAAAATCCCTTGGAGCGAAGTGCTGACTCTGTCACATGTCTTCCTTGGTGATGAGAAATTGAATGGTAGTGATTCACAAGTAAGTTTGCTATGTGAGATTTCTTTGGGATAATAATCGGATGCTTTTGACCTTTCTCCAAAGGAGCATTGCTGAGGCGTCCTCCAACACGCAGAATGTGTTGGTCATCTAGTACTGGTGATAGTGTTGTCAATTTGCTGTCTGCAGGTACACTGGCTTTCTTTTCCACCATGCTAATTTCTTCTCTGAAGGCATCTTCCTGTGCTTTCTTTATTAGGAATATCTCCGTAGCTTCGGTATCACTAGGGTCTTTAGGAGACATTTGCTTCTTTTCCTTCCAGGCTCTGCAAAACCTCTTCAAGAGAGAAATTGCCCTGACAAGAGATTTCCATGTTGAAAACTTTTCAAACCTAGCAGCAATGCTTCTTAACAATACTGTAGCCTTCACATTGATTGTTGGACGTATTTCACAATCTGCATCTTCGTCAACTAGGTCAAAGCTACAGTTTTCACCAACTGTTGCTGTGACAACATCTTTCAAGAAATCTGGCCCTGTAATCCACTTACTACTTGAAAAATCCTGAACTGGGGTATTGCATCTTGTGCCGCAATCGGCTGGGTTTTTCTCTGAGGGGATATACTGCCACTGAGACGCCTTGGACCGTTTCAATATTGTAGCTACACGGTTGCTGACATATGTGTAGAACCGTCTGGTGCGGTTATAGAGATAACCGAGAACGACTCTACTATCTGTGCAATACTTGAATGTTTCCATCGGAAGGTCAAGGTGTTCAGAGATTGTATCTGCAAGCTCTGTTGCTAAGACAGCTGCACAAAGTTCTAAACGTGGTATGGTCACACCACCTGGTGGTGATAGTTTGGACTTTCCCATGATAAAACCTACTTCTGTGGAGGTATCACGACGAGCTTTCAAGTAGGCAACTGCTGATATGGCACGTTCGGAGGCATCTGAGAATATCCATACCTCCAGGGAATCTGCTAAACTGAAATCCACTGCAGTAATCATCCTTGGAACACGGAATTCTCTCAAGGAGAAAAGTGAACTTTTCCAAGATTCCCACTGGTGACAAAGGTGTTCTGGCAAAGGGTCATCCCATCCAACAGCTTCGACATGCATCTCTCTTGCTAGCATTTTCCCGGTAACTGTCACTGGAGATAGGAAGCCAAGAGGATCAAAAATACTGTTGACGGTTGATAGAATCCCACGTTTGGAAAATGGTCTTTCAGGAATGAAAAGGCTGAAACCAAAACAATCCTTATCCATATTCCATGAAATTCCAAGAGATGCTTGAGTAGGAAGCTCTTCTGTAAATAGGTCAAGATTCATGAGTGTTTTCTCTCGGTCTTCTGTTGGGAAGGCATTCACCAAGTCTGGAGAATTGGAAGCGATTTTATGTAACCGGATTCTTCCATTTTCCCACAAAACCTTCTGGGTTCTTTTCACTAGGTCTGTGAGGCTTTCCGAGTCTGATCCTGTGATGAGGGCATCATCTACATAAAAGTTCTTGGTGACAAAATGTTTCACATCTTCATCAGCATGTTCCACTGCTTTCCTAAGGCCATAGGTAGCTACGGCAGGTGACGGAGTGTTCCCAAATACATGGACTCTCATTCGGTATTCAATGATCTCTTTCTTTGGGTCATTATCTCTGTACCAGAAGAATCGTAGGAAGTCTCTGTGTTCTTCATTTACTAGAAAGGAGTAAAACATCTGTTGGATATCTGCTGTGACTGCGATTCTGTCTCTCCGAAATCTTAAAAGTACTCCCAATAAACTGTTGGTTTGGTTTGGTCCAGTGAGTAGATTCTCATTCAAAGAGTACCCTTCATACTTGATAGAAGAATCAAAAACTCCTCTCACTTTATCAGGTTTTCTGGGATGGTATATGGCAAAAAGAGGAAGGTACCACACTTCCTTTCCAGGTGGAAGCTCAGGGGCTACTTCCGCAGCTTGAGAATCGAATATGTTTTCCATGAAATCCACCATGTGCTGAAGTTTACGTTCGTCTTTCTTTAATGCTGCATCAAATGATCTTGCCCTGCCTAAGACTTGTGACCTGTTATTCGGCATTCTCTGTCTTGGGTGTTTGAATGGGAGAGGAGCCATCCACTGATCCTTGTCTTTTCGCATAGATTCATTCATAATGTCAAGAAATTCCCTGTCCTCTGTGGACAAACTAACGCGGTCGTCTTGGGCTGTAATTTTGAAAACATCTGAACCAATCTGATTTTCTTCTTTCAAGAGTATTGCACTGGGACATGGTAGAAAGTTTGTAGGCCGCCCGTCGTTCATGATGTTGGTCTTGAAGGCGGATATCCTCTTTGGCTGATGTACTTTTCCAAGGCAGACTTCACCAATGATTACCCATCCGAGTGGTAGTTTCTGGCCAAATGGATGATTCTTAGAACCCAGGAGTTGATCTTGAACATGATGTGCTTCAATTAGATCTCTGCCTATGAGCAGACCGATTTCAGCTTTGGGGTTCAAGGGTGGAATCTTCTCTGATAAAGAACTCAGGTGATCATACTGCATAGCGACGTCCGGAGTAGGGATTTCAGAACGATTCTTAGGAATGTCACACTCAATTATTTTGGGAAGCACAAAGGACTGAGTACCATCATAAGACTCAACAATGAGGTCCGCAGCATGCCTTGCTGATATGTGAGTGGTCCCTGAGCATGAAGACAATGAATAACTACGCAACCCTCCTGAGATCTGCAGCTGGTCAAAAAGAGCTGGGGTTCCTAAGGACTTGTTACTCTGATCATCATGGACAGCATAAACTGCAACAGCCTCTTCTGGTCGGCCTTTGGGAAATACCCTCACTAAAACATTTTTAGCACATGACCGTCCAACGAATCCTTCTTCACACAATGCAGTACATTTAGTAATCACCTCCCCGCCATTCGCTCTTGGGGCAATACCTTCATCTGTGGAAACGTTGTTTCTTCTCTCAGCATTGTTTCTTCTTTCTGGAATACCACTCGGGGCACCTTTTACTGGGCAATTGGTTTGGGAAGGAAATGTTTTCTCTCCACAAGACAGCAACCAAAACAATAGCCATATTTCCTAATAATACACTTCTGCTCATTCGGGCTTTTCTGACCAAACACTCTGCATTCCCTGAGTTCATGGTTTGTGCCATGCAGTGGGCACTCTTCTTTTTGAGCGACATCAGTCTTCCTGGTTGTTATCATGTTTCTTTCCTTTGGTCTGTCTTTAATAGAAGTATTGTGTGTAAAGTCATACTGAAAACAAGGATTGTTCTTTGTCTGGCTCAGCTTCTTAATGAATTTGACGAATTCAGGGAATGGAGGGTAATTAAATGGACTCTGTTGTTCTCTTTGTATTTCACGGCATGAGATGTCCACTTGTTCTGTTGGTCTTGAGTTAACTTGGCTACTATTGGGTTTATTCCTACCGCTGAGTCGAGATAGGACAGGGTCAATCCACACAATTCATCTTCTTTAAAGGCCTGAATCTCTGACAGGAGATCTAAAAGTTCATACAGTTTCAGTGTATCCTTTGACGTCAGTTTAGGAAACATGTCTATTTTCTTCCTCAGGACAGATTCTATTAGCTCTGGGCTACCGTATCTTTCCTCCAATCTTTCCCAAATCTCTTTGACTGCTTTCTGAGGTTGACTTGGATTTGCTGTTTTAATACTAATTGCATGCTTTCTGCTGGTGGGACCCAGCCATCTGATGAGTAAGTCTACCTCTTCTGATGCTGACAGTGCTAAATCTTTCTTCATACTAACAAAACTTTCTTTCCATGAAGCATATGTCTCTGGGGTTTCTTGAAATTTAGTTAATCGAGTGAGGAGCAACTCCTTCTTCAGTAGATAATTCATTATCCCTGTCATTTCTCTGCCATTTTCAGTAGCTGGTGTGAATTCAGAGGCATTCGGATTCAACTGTTCTGGTAAGACTCTTGGTAATTGTGGTACTTCAGTACTGGTGACTGCTGATGGAACGGGTTCTGGTCTACGCGCAATTTCTAAAAACTGAGGTGCTGTCACTGCTGACACACTTTGTCTTGTATCTGATTGTTGGGTGTGTATGGTTGCTGCTGAGTGTCTCTCTACGAAGGCTGCTGTGCGATTTACAGCACTTTCTATGGGTAGACCGGGGGATTCTGGTCGTCTTCTATGGGGAAACAACTGTATTTCTTCGTCTTCGAGTACCTGCGCTTCGGCCTCTGCTGCAGCATGAGATTTCCTTTCCATTAACAGCTCAAGCTCTGCTTCTAATTCACCTTTTTGTCTGTTTCTTTCTGCAGCTCTGATCACGTTTTGTTCCTCCAAAATTGCCTGTCGTTTCTTCAGTTCTACTTCTTGCTCTGCAAACTTGAGCCGTGCACGTGCTGCTTCTGCTTTCGCTCTCTTTCTGATTGTGGATGAGGTGCCTGATGATGAAACAGATCTAGATCTAGCTGACGTAGCTAATTCTGCACCCAAGTCTGGAACTGTGCTTGATGGCTCTTCGGCGCCTGTTGACATCTTGAAATGGAGCTAGAGGTGAATTGACTTCTAAATGGGCCGGACCTTTTTTACTGTCTTGTTTCCAGAAAACAAGAAGATAACCCTCTTTGTTGTTTGATACAGCTATCTTTATTTCCAACAAAGGAATGTGGTAAAAAACTGAAATAAAATAAAGAAAACCTTTGTCAAAATACTGTTGATGATAGTTCTATTACTTATTGTGGCACTTACAGGCCACCGTACCTTACAAAACTAGCGTGAAACGGGCAGCATTCTTGCAATGACAAGTTTTAACGTGAATACATAAAAAAAGCAGTTTACAGATACTAAAAATGTTCTTTACACCACACTTATCAAAACTATATAAAATGTGGAAAAACTCACGGTGTGCTTGGCCAATCTTTAGAAAAAACTCTGTACAGTTCACGAGCGGCTGCTGATGAGCGAGCATGGAGCCTCGATATGAAAAACTAGGTCAAATACGGAGGCCCGTAACAACACAGTCCGATTTGAGTTGCCGTTTGACGTTTATTGGTAAAGTGGTCGCTCTGCTGACAGAAAATAGTGTACGAAACAGACATCGAGATAACTTTCAATATTTTCAGTGCATATTAAAAACAATTCCACGATATTCAAATGTATACAGATCTTTTTTCTTGTCGCCAACATTTGCCATGGTGAAGCTACTAGAGTCATCCTGTATTGATATAACGTTAACGTTTGTAACATATAGTATCTACATTTAATATGAAGGACCCATACATCGTTTAATACAGTGCCCTTACAGCAGTTGCTGTCTCAACTTGTATAAACGGTAGTTAAACATGTAACCACAGCTTTGGCTCCTGAAGTGCATTATATCACATTCAATTTTGACTCAAATATTTCAACTTAAGTTGTACGATAAGCTTCTATGCTTCGATAGCCCAGTCTTGGAGTGCACAGCAATGGACTAAGACTTACATATCATGTATGGTAGTACAAATACAGCTTGTTCTTAAAGAAATCTAAGACCCAAACAAGTATAGTGTGTCTTAAAAGAAAAACAAGAAAAATTGCTTTCTTTTAAATTATATAGATCAGGGTGAATATAGTCTCATTTGTAATCTCAAAATTATATTATTTCCCAATAAAAATCAACATTTTTGATTAAATGGCCACCCAGGTTCTTACGTGTCGAATATGGCTTACAAAATTCTTTCTAGGAGTTTATAGCTATATGATGTTTTTTCTCCTTGAATCCCCCCCTCCCCCAATGCACTGTTATACTTAAAAAAGTCACCATCTATGTTCCTTCACCGTAAGCGGCATTTTAGTTTTGTAATTAGGCTATGAAGTGTTCCTGATGATAAATATTTATTATTGTCCTCATGGAAGAAAATAAATGTACATGTAGGTACCGATATTTATCTTTTTCAGTACCAATTTTACTAAGTCTTATCACTTTCGTTTAATTTGAAAATTATATGGAATAATCAAGGATCGATAAATTTTGTGAATTGCCTGTACACATTTTTCGTGTCATTTGCACTTTCTCACCTTTTTAAATTCCAACTAAGGATATCATTTCAGCTGTTTTCTTTCACTTGTGTATAAACGCAAATGCACATTTCCCCCCAACCTGATTTCTGCAATAATAAACTGCTCAAGATGGGTCCAAGTAAGCACCCAGTGAACAACTAGTTTAGCTTGTCCTCAGTCCAAGCAATTACACCTTGAAATCAAATTACACTTAAGTATTTCATTTTTATTTTTTTCTTATTCATTTTTAAGGTTTTTCATCATTTTCACTTTTGCTGAAACAATTTGCACTTAGCAGCATGCAGTACATATATGACATAATAGTTTTAAATAAATGTAATTTCTTACAGATGTAGTTGAACTCATGGTGACTTGTAATCTATCTGCATTCTAGGCTAATTCCCAATCTATGGGGATTAAAGGCTCTGCGGTTTACCCCCAGTAAAACCAAGTTTTACAAAGCGACACATGAACAATGACAAGAGAAATTGGCCCTATCTCCTTATGTCTACTGAGCTATCACATGCAGTGGGACATTTAAACTGAATCCCTTTCAGCAACAAGTTCCCAACAAAAGGCTCACCATTCAATACTCAATCTTCACCCATCACTGCATGATTCAGGTAGATCAATTAGAGGTGACATTGCCATCAAGTGTCAATATATGAAAAAAATTCTGTTCACACCAATTAGAAGACCTCAGACCAGTGAGTCAACTTCCTGGGGCCAGAAAAGCTCAATTTCATGATAAAGGGTCAATGGTGGTACATATTTCTTCAAGACCCATATGAATCCTATCCTTGTATGAACATTTTACTTAATATGGCATACAGAACCGACGTAAAACGTACAATATCCAACTAACACCAAAGTAATCATCCAGATAGATTATGCTAACAACACTTTTTGATGCAGTTAATTGGAGGATATTTTTTTGTGAAATTTCCAGAACACAGAATATCGAAAGTCCACTTCCCATTAATGAGATTGTAGAAACATCAAAGAATGAGACCTTCATAAGTAGGTCCATCATTCTCTGGAGACTCCTGTCTCAGTCTTAAATGCTCAATGGTGTTCTGGAAATGCTTATTAATCTGCTCAGTCTCTTCATTGGATTCTAAGTTTGGCAAGTCTTCGCGGATCTTTCCAATTAGTTGATTTAGCACCTGGACCGTCATCTGAGGAAAGAAAAGAAAAGAAGTTCAATTACTGGACTAACCACGAACATATATTTTTTAACAAATTGTTCCAGTGCTTGCTAAATGGATCTTTAAATTAGGCATACAATTACTGTAGAGTTGGCTTCACCAAAACGCAAATCTAATATGGTTTGATATATTATTCTTAAATATAATATAAGGGTATGTGAGCGTATGTACGGTAATGTGCCAAGCATTTCGATATCATAGATTTCCATTGCTATATTTTAACCAATTCGACCAAACTGACATTTCCATGAAATTAATTAATTAATCTTGGTCGAATTGTTTGGCATATTACCATATGTATGTTTATGCTTCTACCTGTATTTGATCATGTATGCATGCGTGTGGATCCAGTGCAGTTTGGAGACATGTTAAAATAAGGAATATTCAAATTTACTTCTAAATACTACTATTTATAGTTGGACCCAGTAAAGTACTTAATTGATCAAAACTACTAACAATCAAACCTGAATAATGAGATATTTAAATTAAAATCCATTCTGTTTCCATGCATACAGTATATATTGTCTATCATGGCACATTTCGTCAGCACATTTTTAATATAATCCATGATAAAATCCAAAATAATATTTATAAAACTAAAAAATATTTTCTTTAAAAAAAAAAGTGACCCTGCATTAAGATTCAAGCCACTGCAACGATTATTTCACCTGGTCATTTCCTTTTTCATACATATATATGTAGTGGTTGAGGATCTCCACAAAGAGCTGCACTTGGACAGAGCTGTCCATGCACTGGTTGGCTATCCGCAGGCTTTTCTTTAGACACTCCATCACACGTTTACCATCCTGGACCTGGAAGTACGTATCATCAATAAAACTTAATAATGTACCGATAATTGTCCAAATAATAAATTCTAAGAATTAATATCCTGAGGATGATTTTTCTCTGGAAAGGATAAAAGATGCCATCAGCATCATGAGGTTAATCTGTTTGTGTCGTCTGTTGTTGCCAAATGAGCTCCGGTCATGCAGAAAGTTGTACAGCAGAAAGTCCACACTCTCTGACCATCTCCAGCTCCATGGTGTCTTATAGGCCCAAAAGGCTGGGCGTTTTTAACACATGACACTTTAATTACTGAATATAAATAAATGCTGGAGTTGTGGCATTCATAATAAATTTTTGTTGTTATCATCACAATTTGCCTGCACTTACCTCTTCCCCTTCGGACTCTCGCGTTTTTCCTGACCAGAACAGATGTGAGCACGTAGCCACGCCACGACACTGGTCTGGTTTCTTCAGAAGTTTTGAGGCTGCCAGAGCACACTGTGTTCTGAGAGGTTCATGGTTCTCTTCTCCAAAACACTTCATTTTCTCAAATGTGGCAATGATTAAAGTGATGGCAGAGAGCTGGGCCTTACTGTCACTGATTTCATCCTCATACAGTGAAAATGCCTAAAAGATACAGATATCTTTTAGATTGTAGAAATATAACGATGTCAGGGTGGATCCAGAGATATTTTCTGACAGTTGTGCCACCTGTCTTTTTTGATCCATCCTCAATTTTTGACCGTCTTCCGACAGAAAAATCAGCTGCCGATCAATGTAAACTAGAAAAATTCTGATGGTCTTCCAGAAGACCCAGAAGATGGCCTCGATCCACCCCTGAATGTGTAAGTACTTTCTGTTTTGATTTAAACAGAAAAAAGTTCTAGAAGATTCGCAATCTACAGCTCACCAAACAAAGACTTATATCACTTGTAACAAGACACGATTCTTACTCTTCATTTTCACAAACTTAAGAAAATCCTACTAATTTTTTTTCAACTTACAAAGAATAAATGAAAATCAAATTATATAATTAATATGAAATATAATCATTCTTTGAATCCAAGATCCTATTACACTCAATTATTGACTGGTAACTGAACATAACATTAATCAAACAGAGTAAAGAAAGTAAAGAAAACTTATCATCTATAAGATGACTGTGCTCTGTCAATATCACTATTTCCAGTACTGATCTGACCTGAAGCTAATAATCATATAAACATTCACCTGTGACAAGAATTCATATGCTACAGACTCGTGGTTTTCAAATCCTATCTCTCCAGCAGCCAGACCTCCCTGAAGGAAGAGTCTCAGGGGGACCTCGGCCATCTCTGCCTTTATCAGGGCTCCTATCGTCTGGTGACAAAACTGGAAAATCTTCTGACATTTTTTCTCCCACTTATCATCCTAAAATGGATTAAATATGGATTAAAAATGGGAATTTGCTTCAAATGCAGCTATAAAATAACAATACTCTCCCTCTCTCTCTCACACACACACACAAACACAAAAACAGCAGATTTGAAGATAAATGTGCCCCTCTCTCTCTCTCTCTCTCTCTCTCAAAGCTTTTCCGTAGCTTTACCCTGTAATTATAATTCAAAGATCACATCCGTAAATGACACACAAAACATTCACCTCCTCTTCTAGTTCTTTGTACTTAAAAGCCAATTTGTAGGCTGCAAACACCAATGGAGGCAGGGTGTACTTAATCCTCATGTTCCCACCATTCCCAAAGTGTTTCCTGGCCGCATTCAAGATCTGAAATCAAACCAAATTACTTTAATTTGGGACATCTTTGAAAAACATAGCTGTGGTCTGTTTTTTTTTCACACTGAACCAATCAATCATTCAATATCACAGACCTTAGCTAATAAAAAGATGAAATTAAGACATAACAGCATTTCCACAACATACCTTTTTTTCACACCAGAGAATTTTTATTTCCTTATGTTTAATGTACTTGTTATAACTGAAATATACATCTTATCTATGCATTGCACTGAATGAGATTTATTTCGCAATTTTAAAGCCTCTCCTAGCTCACTAGGCTTGTCACAGTTTATACCATTACATCAATAGATAATACATACATGTTCCCACAATCAATTCCATAGGCCCCATTCAGAATAGGTGATTACACTAGTGGGCTTGATTTGGTCTTAAAGTGCAATTTAAGAACACAAATAGTCTTACACGATCTTAAAACATAAGTAAGACCATTTCTAGTCTGACAGCTAATTAAGTTGGCTTCCCTTTACACATTCTCCTATTGTGAGCAGAGGTGTCCTCTATTGTGAGGGGTGATATCCCTCATTGTGAGGGGAGGAAACTGCTTGACCATTTAAGTAATTGTTAGATCATTTTTGATCTTAAAAGCAGATTCAGTCCATTTTAAGACTACTACTGTAATGATTAAGATCGTGTAAGATCACTTGTAAACTTAAATTGCACTTTAAGACCAAATCTAGCCCACTAGTGTTAACTACTCCAAGATTAAAATATGGCAACCCAGTGTACAAAGCTTGACATCTAATCCGCTAATAGACACTGAATAGATATCCCATGGGGAAGTATTCAAGTGAGTCGGCCATATTTGACCTTCGGACTAGTAAATCCCCTTTTCTGAATGGTCCATAAACACTAACAAATTTAAATATTTTTCTTGTGGATATTGGCATACCAAGTATTGTTGGTCAGCATCTTCCGCCTGCATTAGGTTAATTAACCTTCCCATCAGGCCTTGTTCCTCTGCAAAATCTTCGGGGTCAATATCATCTTGGGGCTGTCCTTCTTGGTCACAAACCAGTGGCGCCACCAAGTTCAATATTGCATCAACCTGAATGTGAACAATGTATATTTTCCTTACCTGTTTTATTTTTCACAGCTTGATCAGACAAGANTGGTTTTCAAATCCTATCTCTCCAGCAGCCAGTCCTCCCTGAAGAAAGAGTCTAAGCGGGACCTCGGCCATCTCTGCCTTTATCAGGGCTCCTATCGTCTGGTGACAAAACTGGAAAATCTTCTGACATTTTTTCTCCCACTTATCATCCTAGAAATGGATGAAATATGGATTGAAAATGGGAACCTGCTTCAAATGGAGATATCAAAAACAAAACTCTCTCTCTCTCTCTCTCTCTCTCTCTCTCTCAGGCCTACCCAACTACCAGACATGAATGATCCTGAATTCACCAGTAAATTGGACCACACTACCCGTTTTCAAGGTGTGTATCAGTATGCGCTTCAAAGTATCAGACATGACACCACTCTTGCCTAGTATGCGAAGTGATAGCGATGATTCTGAGCAGGGCTGGAAAGTAGTGCATCTCATCTCAAAATTTGTTCCAGGGTATAATATTGTGAAATGCGACCGAGTCTGGTAGTTGGGTAGGGCAGTCTCTCTCTCTCTCTCTCACACACACTCAATCAGTAGCAATAAATGCAAATAAATATGCCCCCCTCTCTCTCTCTCTCTGATGAATACAAAGGATTTCTGTATGTTTAGCACCTTATTGATAGATCATATCTGTTAATGACACACAAAACATTCACCTCCTCTTCTAGTTCTTTGTACTTGAAAGCCAATTTGTAGGCTGCAAACACCAATGGAGGCAGGGTGTACTTAATCCTCATGTTCCCACCATTCCCAAAGTGTTTCCTGGCCGCATTCAAGATCTGAAATCAAACCAAATTACTTTAATATGGGACATTTTTGAAAAACGTATGTGTGGTCTGCTGTTTTTTTTTCACACTGAACCAATCAATCATTCAATATCACAGACCTTAGCTAATAAAAAGATGAAATTAAGACATATAACAGCATTTCCACAACATACCTTTTTTTCACATCATAAAATGTTTATTTCCTTATGTTTAATGTACTTGTTATAACTGAAATATACATTTTATCTATACATTGCACTGAATGAGACTTATTTTGCAATTTTAAAGCCTCTTCTCACTAGGCTTGTCACAATTTATACCATTACAGCAATAGATAATACATATGTGCCCACAATCAATACCATAGACCCCATTCAGAAAAGGTGATTATAACTACTCCAAGATTAAAATATGGCAACCCAGTGTACAAAGCTTGACATCTAATCCACTAATAGACACTGAATAGATATCCCATGGGGAAGTATTCAAGTGAGTCGGCCATATTTGACCTTCGGACTAGTAAATCCCCTTTTCTGAATGGTCCATAAACACTATCAAATTTAAATATTTTTCTTATGGATACTGGCATACCAAGTATTGTTGGTCAGCATCTTCCGCCTGCATTAGGTTAATTAACCTTCCCATCAGGCCTTGTTCCTCTGCGAAATCTTCGGGGTCAATATCATCTTGGGGCTGTCCTTCTTGGTCACAAACCAGTGGCGCCACCAAGTTCAACATTGCATCAACCTGATTTTATTTTTCACAGCTTGATCAGACAAGATATGGATAAGTTTAAATGAAAATTAAATGCTACAAAAATTTAACAACTTCCGTAATTAAAAAGTGTTTTATAGAATTTTTAATAAGAAGAACAGTAAAAAAGAGTTAAAATTCACACTGGCCGTGAGTACAGAATATTAAATTTGGTGACTATATACTAATAGTGCAGCCTTTTTGATTTGCCCAATATGCCTTATCTATTACTCATTCATAATTTGAGATGTTATATGACTTTGACACTTGAGAAACAAATATATATTACCAGAAAATACAAAAAAATTTCAATTTAAAAATACTAAAAAATAAATAATACTTAAAAATGCATGAAATATCTCAAAATATTTCAAATGAAACAAGAAATATTCCAAAATATCAAAAGACAAACCTGTTCCTGTGATGGTATCTTTATATCATTATCTAATGCATTCACTATAATGTACGAGCTCATGCTCTTCTTGGCGGCAAAGTCAAAGTACTCAAAGAGTGCACCGAAGTGCTCCAGCTGCAGAACGGTCAGTATGTTATTATAGCTGTCCACTGGGATCTTCATAAGGCGCATCAACTCCTTGGAAACTGCACTGGAATTCTCAATGCTGTCAAAAGCAAGAGAGAAAACATGTTATATCATATAACTACCTCCTCCCCCCCTTAACACACCTGAATAGAATATTGTCATATCACTAAATACACACAAACACTGCTTCCCCCTCCACTGATCCCCCCTTCAATTACTGAAAAAAAAATTCACACCAATGGTCCCCTGTTGAATTTTGACTAGCTGAATCTTAATTCTAAACCGTACCAAATGGCAATGTTCCCCCTCTAAAATACCAAAATTTTTCAGGCCCTTAGGCAGGCCTGGAACCCCAAACCAACCACCCCTGCAAACTACTCACTGGTTCAGGTTGAGCCTGTTAAAGATCTCCTCGGTGGTCTCCAGGACCTTGTCCACGTAATCCACCCTGTCTGGGTAACACTTCAGGGCCAGGTTGATCAGCGCCACCTGTAGGGAAACGATGTCCTCAGGAGGCATATCAGGACAATTCTGAAATATTAAGAAATCTTTCGAAAATTTTGTCTATAGAACATACACAGCAACAGCAATAGATTTTTCAAAGGATTGGGGATAAATTTCAGCAGTGAACAGGGATGTGAAGTACAAACAAGCTTGGTCGTCTTTATATAGACTATAAAATATCAGCTATATAAAATATATTTTCTGAAGGATAGTCAACATAATGCATAATTATCGAAAAATAAACAGGCACTGATAACTGTCATAGTTGGTGTCACTGTTTTCTTTACCTGAATGACTTCAGAAATCTGCTGTGAAAATATATCGAAAAGTTGGATGTCTCGTGGTATACCAACACCTTCCTCTTTGTTGGCAAATTGGGCAAGTCTGTTGAAACAAAGAAAAACACATGATTTCAAATTTTGACAAGAAACTGTTCTTGCAAAGACTTTTACACTTCCAGGTTCAGGTAGAGATGCTTCATAAGACGATTATTTTAAATGATACTAAACTTTTAGTCGTATCTCTATTTGTCATATCTGGGTGAAAAATCCCGTATAATACACTCCATCAAGTATTCCTGTGCTATGGGATCTCTACAGCTANTTTTGTGTCCTTTTAATATATTGTCTGTAATTTACTGTATATGAGTACATCATATCACCTGTCAATAAGAGCTATGATGATGTTCTTGACATTGACATCAGGGTGAAGGTCAGCGCAGGCCTTTAAGAACCCGGTCAGCGTTTGGAGGTGGAACTCGTCTGGAAATACCTGTAAGGAATTAAGACACCACCTTCAACTGATTGCTATTATTAATAATAAGAAAAACAATAGTGATAGTCGCCATAAAACTTGGAGTGTTAAAAGCCTCATACATATAACATACAAAACCTACATATTACATAAAAAACATTATTAAGTCCATTGCATAAAGAAAGACTACTGCAATTATGATTATAGTTTGTTCAAACAACTTCTGAGTAGCCTCCTTTATGACATACATGTATAGTCAAGACATATCAAAATGGTACAAATACACACTAAAAGCACTCTGAAAATCATTTAAGAGAAAAAACTACTCATATTTGTCATATCTGGGTGAAAACTACCTGTATAATACACTCCATCAAGTATTCCTGTGCTATGGGATCTCTACAGCTAACTGTCTGCTCCAACACACCAGTCAGGATATGCTGGAAATAAATGAAATATATACACTAAAGGTAACAAGTATTGAACCAAAATATACTATACAGGCCTTATAAACTGATTAGGCATTTATTAACACTACCCGTGGATCTTTTAGCACTTTTTAAGCAGCAAAATTTATAAAAAGTGAAACAAAACAAAACAGTCACAAACCCTTTTATACATCTCCATGTCAACGCACTCTAACTGGCTGAGGCGAACCAGGTTAGTACCAACAAGGATACGCAGCTCGCGTCTCTCCTGCTCCCGCTTGTCTTTGTCGCGCGTATGTCCCTGGTGCTGCATGCGCACCCACAGTTTGTTCATTTCAGCAAAGTTCAGGTGGATGAAATCGTTGCATTGACTTTATCTGTTGTTTATAAGTTATTAAGGCATCCTTTCGGAAAGCTACTGCCGCAGAGCATTTACTAAAACAGACCTCACAAAGTTTCAAACCATCTATCAGTGAGACATCCTGAATTTTCACTCCTAAAAATCACAAAAATTTTACAGTGTTTTACGTAACACAGAGCACACAATAAATAATACATCATTATATGTGGTCAGGCATAACTAATCCCCAGTTGTTCATTTTTATATTATATAACATTATTATATATAACAACTTTTTTTTTTGGGGGGGGGAGAAATAAAAATTTAATGCATGTCTTTTTTAAAAGGGTAGGGTAGGACACTTCTTAAAAGTCAAAGTCGAGTTTGGACTTACAAACATATATGTATCTCAAACTGGCTGAAGCCATAAATAAGTCACATACATTTTATTGATTTGGTTCTGATTTTTCTTTCGAGAATTTTATAATTGTTTTTCATGTAAACATGCACACACTGCAGATTTACATTGACTTTTAGCAACTGTCTAGTGTCATTGCCAATTGTACTGTATAAGTCAATATCAAGAAAATTACCTAAAAAATCCTCAACTACATCTCGATAATGTTCATCTATAGTCTTCTTTTGGGTGAAAGACTGCAACCTCCTGGTTGATGAGGCACAGAGTAAAGGAACTCAATGGGATGAGTTTTTGTGGAGTTTCTGATTCCATCATGTGCGCTTCACGTTTGATTATCACATGAGCAAAAACTAATAGTGTAGCACTGACCATCTCCAAGATAAACATGACAGGAGTTTCCAAAATGAAAGCCACATCATCCTGAAAAAGATTTTTTTAACAGTTACACTTTTATTTAGGGAAAATAGACAAAATATTTCAGGCTCAGAAATAAACAGTATTTTCAAAATTTTCTTTTCTACTCTAACATAATAATTGATACATACAATCGTATCAATATAGGGTGTCTCAAAAAACCATACCTGTTCAAAAGGTTAAATACTAGATACTAATATCTGTGTTTACCGAAAAAAAAAACAAAAAAAAAAAAACTGATAATAATTCTGAGTTTCACTAGAGTAAACTTTAGGGAGAGATGGAACACATTTAGTATTAATTACATTTAACTAAAATATGCTAAAATACAATGAATAATCTTTTTCTCCCAAATGAATTGTAATTCAACAATGTATGCTTTTTAAAAGAAGATACAAATAAATATTGTAGACAATTTACAATAATAACTGTTTGAGAGCATGAATGTGCAGTATGGCACAGGAATGCAGTTACTGGTAGGTATTACTTTGCAATAAGGAGAGCTTGTGAATCGAACCCAAGACCTTCCACACAAGGTGAACGCTCTACCACTGAGTTTGCTCTCCTGTCCCATTTCACTACCACTTAACCTGACCAATGTCCACTGCCTCAAAACAATGTTCCACTAAAATCAAGCTACTAGTAGAGGTGCTGACAAATATCAAATCAGCCCATAAGCATGATAGTGGGAGGGCTTTAAATTTATTTGCCTTCATTAGACATATTTTTTGACCAATTACCCTTTTCTTGTACATGTACGTTTTAGTATCGATAAATTAAAAAGAAATAGTGTAATTTTACTATAATATACTTCCAATTTTTTGGTCTTCCATTGTTTTGGTCTAGATTAACCCGACCCGGTGTGGTGTGTACCGCCGGGAGCGTGAACCATCCGTTCTGCTCATGCGCACTAAACGCAGGCAAATCTGAAGGACTTCCGACGTGTACAGTCCGTCTCTATATGGGCATTTTTACAATCCTGGGCTCCTTTTTTTCCCACCAAGGGTCAAAAATAGAAGTCATTTTTGTGTTGAAATGTGTACTTTTCTTGAAAGTATAGACCTGAAGGGTATAAGAAATGACAATCCCGAGATAAAACCTTGTGTATGTATAAAGATATGATCATTTGAATTTTGAAAATCATTTTTTTAATTTTCATAAGCTAAACCTTGAAGTGTGTGACTTTTATGGTAATTTAAGGTATTGATCTCCAAAAAACCACTTAGTTTTACTCAGGGAGTATTGCTCTTTTATGTATTTGCAAAAAAAA